TCTGGTTGGGGGTGTCAGCGTGCTAAAATCTGTTCATTAACCATGCTTCATGTATCCAATCCGTATCTTGTCTCCCTTTTTTTTTATACCATCCCTATATGCCTCTTTTTTTAAATTCGCAGGATTTTACTTGTAGTATTATAGGGATTGGCATGGTACCTAGCATCATAGATGTATGATAGGGGAGTGTTTTGTTCATCTTATTCTTCAACCAGCATAACTCAACTGAAAAAAACGTGATAATGTTGTAAGAATGTACATATCGATAACCACATCTCTTTTGTTTGTAAACAATGTTGTTTACTGTAAACAACAACAAATAGCCCTAGGCAGTATAAACATTATAATGGAGACACGTGTATTAGTGTAACTCACAAATACTAAGAGCTGTATGCGGATGAAAGTTTGTATACACCATGTATTGAGTGACCTCTGTAAAAAAACACAACAATACATGTTTGTAAACAACAACAAATAGCCTCAGGCAATTTTCTTTAAAGTTACTTCTTCGCTCCTCTAACCTGCAAACGGTATAAAACTTGGTATGCATGCGAGTAACATTACGACTACATTTTACTTACATTAAACAACAACCACCAGCCTCAAGCAATTTTCTTTAAAATTACTTTTTCATTGCTCAAACTCGCTAACGGTAGCACACATGGAGATGAAACTTAGTACTTACATTGTTTCCATGACAACCACATTTGGTATGCATGCGTATTGCGTTAACACTTTATAACACTTTTATTTATAATTTTATTTGTTCACTAATTAATGTCTCCCTTTCTTTTTATACAATCCCTATATGCCTCTTTTTTAAATTCGCTGAATTTTTCATTTACTGGTGTACGCTGTATTTTATCAGAGTTCATTTTGCACTTGCTCTCCTCTTTTTTTCTTATGACTTGCATCCTTAGTGGGATGTGTTTGCTCCTTCAATGTACCATGTAGTTGTCTAACATTCCTGTATGTATTCCTGTGTATAGATGAGTGCTCGTTCTCAGTTTCATCATCAGCCACAACCTTTACATCGTATTCAGCCACCGTCTTTATCCCATCACACCCACATACTGCATCAAGACATATCATCATTATCTCAGTATTCCGATCCTCCTGCTCTCCCTCCTCGTCCCTCCCGTGAGCCACCCAAGCAAATGAAATCTCTTTCACAACAAGTCTCAGATACTGATCATAGGTGAGTCATAAATTTTCGGTGTGTGTTTCATCTACACATTAGCTAGTTATACCTCAGCTTGCATGCGCAGTGAGGGTTAAAGCACTTTGTCTCACGTTTGAAAACATGTTTACTAAATCAGTAACTCGCATCGTGTTTACTGCAACACAGTTTCCCGCGCAACCTGAAAAATAGTTGCGTGTCAATTGTTGTTACGAGTTACGTAAAATAAGGGCCGTTGCATCCCGAATGCAGCTAAGATGTGATGTGAAGAGCCTGAGAGCTTCTAACACGTGTAGATTTTAACAGACGACTACGTTGCCTGGCACAGCCCATCATTTAGCTGGGTGCTTCTTGCATGTGCGAGTGCATAATACCTCGGTTTGCACTTTAGTAGTATGAAACCATTTGAGCCCACAACTTTTGCTGCACTGCAGGTACATGTAAGGAATACATTGCAATACCTGTATATGCGTCTATTAGTCAGTACTACTAATTAACAAGCTTGACTACATGCGATAACAATTTTTTCATTTCTCGTTAGGTTGTAGCTACACCTGTAGAGGCATACGTAGTTTGACACAATACTCACACGGTTTTAATTGATGTTCACAGAGTTGATAACGGTACTATTGAAGGAGGCACAAAATTAGCTGAAAGTATTATCTATGACATGAGGTGATAGAAATAGTAGAAGTCGGGAACCTTCTTTCCCCTTTTTAGTAGCCTTGGCGCGCATCTGCAGAGAGGGTTACCGTACTTGGTCTGTCTGTCTCCGCTATTCTGGCATTACGAAGTGGCCAATGAGCGATACCAACGGCTTTGGAGCAACGAGGACATGGATTTTAAAATGGTGATTTGCCTGAAACCACTGCGTTCAAGAGGTATGGCAACTAAAAAAGCTAATGAAATTAGCCATCAGGCTTACCTCGACTAGTACTTGCACGTAAAACACACCATGTTTGCACAGAGTTACTCATGGGGACGAGTATCCAGTCCAGCATTCTCAAAACACTAGTCACTAATACTGTTAGCCCGAGTTAGAGCAATAACGAATACCGTTTGGCGACCATGTGATGTGTGGTCCTTTGTGCGTGGATAGTGTGTAGTTACCGGTGAGCGTCTAGGTTTCTGAGGGTTTGCACTTCAGTCCTTTTCATTAGATTACTGAATTGATCAATTTTGGCTATAAACTGTACCTGTGAATACAAGTACAGCACATGTGCAATTCTATTGTAGAATTACTATAAATATGCTAGGGTACAATACCCGCCAGCAATAGTTACCCTAAGGAACCTATGTACACATGCTCTTGTTTTACATAATTCTTGACACAAGAAACCTAGTGTGATAGAGATGTTAATTTAACCTATGCTGTAATCTGTCTACTGAAAACTTTCTCTTGGCAGGCATGCCGTTGACTGGTTAAAAGATGCTCCAGAAATCCTTGATGTTTGCATTGCACAGCGAGATTTTGACAAGGCCATGGAGTTGATTGATGATGCAAAGGGTTTTTTGAAAAATTTTCTCGGACTCTCACGCACTTCGCGATGTACGTGCTCGTATTAATCATCGTATTACGCAGCTCAGCACCGTACTCATGAAGGAGTTGGAGTCTTCTCCCAGTGGATCTCTTCGTGGAGGACCAAGAGCAGCACGTAGAGCTGTTGGCTTGCTCATCAAACTTGGACATGCTACAAAAGCCTGTCAGCTCTTTCTTCTCAACCATCAGTCTATTATTCGTCATGATTTGGATGATGTTAAAAATGAAGAGGGTGCCAATGTGCTTTATGTGGGAAACATGTCTGCTGTGTTTGTTTCTGGCTTAAAGAATGCTGCCATAGAATTCCAACGTGCTTTTTGCAGTAACCATGGAAGTTATTCTTCCTTCGTTGTTTGGTGTATGAATGAGTTGCAAGAATTTTGTAAGCGTTGTGAACCAGTAATTTTCAAGAATGTCCCGTTGACAACTGTTACTGACTGTCTCATTGCAATTCGCAAGGAGTGCACTAGTCTTACTGCAATTGGACTTGACCTGAGTTTTAGAATGATGTCCAACTTCCATGTTCAGATATTGGAGGTAAATGGTGCATGAAGTTATGTTTGGTGTTTAGTGCACTACCAACAGAATGCCACAACTACCCCTATCCTCCCTTTTTCTGTACACACGTGTACGAACAAGGTTCCAAGCATTGAAAACTGGAGTGATGGGTTGAAGAGCGTTTATGTTACCCATTTTCCCCACACATCCATCAATAATTGATGCTATCTCGATGTATAGATTGTTAATCCTTTGTGTATCTTGTGTTTACACTGTAGAAGCATGAGATATAAACGTCTAAGATATGTATTCATTTGTTGTTTTACTATGCCCTACAATTGACCGGCGAACTACTTCGGTTATGCTAACCCACAATTTCAGTTATACAATTAATCACTAAGAAGCCTGGCATGTTTTATTGGTTGATTAAGCAAGAAAGGGATTGTTATGCAGTAGCACATTGGACCAGGGCTATAAACACTTCATCATTTTCTCATGTACATTTCGCAAAGCTGGACAAATTATTTACTCTTTCGTGAATAATTGCAGCGCTGACTGATTTACTAATGGGTGTTTTAGAACTGCTGCCACCACACGAAGAAATCAACCAAAGAGTGATAGTAACAGGTTCATTGCTACAGCAGCTTGATTTTAGAAAAGGCGATTTCCATAAAAGTACTGCATTCTAAAGTTTTGGTTTGAAAACCCAAGCCAATATGCAAGTACCACTGGCTTTCCTCGACCGCATTCCGCCTGCTTGCGTACTGTGGAGGCATTAAGAGTTACAATGGAGGGTGAGTGTTGAGTGTCGCAATGCCTAATATAACCTACGTATGTCACACTCTCCGAGGAGTTAGCTAGAGACCACGACATGATTAACTCGACGGCGTTGCCCATTCCATCAATTAGCGGTGCTGTGTACAAGTGCATTGCATCCACATGCGTGTACATGTATTGCGCCAAGGGTTTGCACTTCAGTACTTTTTCATTATACCATGGTTGGGCATAATTTCAAGGGTATATCTGACGGACGTTCCGTAAAGTATACAGAAGTGTCGAGCGCTGTCCCAGCAGTGTTTATTTGTTAGCTTTGCTCTTTATGACAAAAGGTGACAAACTCCAGCATGCACCACAGCATTGGTTAGTCGACTACATGATAAACCACTTTTAGGCTTATTTTCTGGCCTGGAAACATTCTAGAAAACTAGAGGGACAGACAGACCTGAGTTTTTACCGCATGACCAGGCACTTCATACACAGAGATGCGACAACTGAGGCTTTAGAATTGAGGATGTAGCTCGCTTGATAGCCCTCCCATCTGTGTACTTTCCATGAAGAAGGACTCCTGCTATGGAGCAAAACAGCTCTGGGTGTAGTCTCGTGCCCAGATCCCGCCCTCAAGAGAGGAAAAGGGTCTGGTGACTATTGAGCGTTTTCTTGGTTGTGCTGACTCATTATTGTCGAGTGCATGCGCAGAAAAGCCCGTTTTCATTCGTGGACAAGCGGAATCTACGGAGCTGCGTTACAATCTATTATATAACATCATGTGATATTTCACGGTCGTGGCAAATACTGCAATCTGATTCGGTGTCTCAAAAGTAAGACTGTCGAGTCAGTACAACCAAGAAAACGCTCAATAGTCACCAGACCCTTTTCCTCTCTTGAGGGCGGGGTCTGGGCACGAGACGACTCTGGGTGTTGGTCGGTTCGGGCTGGCAGCAAAAAATGGCGACAGGTCCACAGCCTTCCCCAATTATAGGGGCCCTAAACCTAGTCTTGTTCCCAGACCCTACCCCTGTGTGAAGGGAAGATGGCCTGGCAGAAGTTCTGGTGACCACTGATGGGTTTTCTTAGTCTTGTGGGTGGATATTAATGTAAACTGTCATGGTAAAGTCGTGTGAAAAAAATATATTCATCAACCGATTTCAAACACCATAACAATTATAACCACTGTAAGTAAAGCTTGATTAGCTTCAGGCCTTCTTCAAGGATGGGTAAGCATGCAAGGAAGCTTACTTGGTCTCACGTAGGCCAATATCCTCTGATATATGTAAGTATAAACGTCACATGTAGCCACAAGTTAAATGAACAAATGCTGCTAATCCCGGTGATCCTTGGCTTCGAAGTTGACTTGGGTTGAAATGTTGGCTCGTCTACGGTCGTAGTAGCTAGTAGGTGGCAAGTAGATTTTTGCATGATGGTCACATTGAGAGCAGCTTGTACTCTAGAAGAGAGCTCTATCCCTCGTCTATGAATGCGGTTAAGAACCCTTTCCTACGGAAGTAATACGACTGTTATGGCCCAAACCAGAATTGTGCAATCTGATTGGTCCATGGGTATTCTGCAGAGTTGGAGGGGTGGGTCTAAGAATGAAAACATGGTTTTTCGATGATGTAATAAAAATGAATTACTGCGGATGTTACAGCAAATAGCCTCATAAATTTGTTCATAATTCCAGGTATTTGCTATAACACTCTAGTAGACGTGTCACATTTGAGCATAGGGTGGGAAATGTGAATGAGCACCTCTCATCGAATGTGCCGCTGCATCACATGCACTAGGTCGTTTGTATCTTATGCCCTTGAATCGATTTTTGTTTGCTGCATTCTGCATAATAACATTTGGTCATAATAGCCATAGAATTCAGCTTTTTATGGTACCAGCTGTTATGTAAAACTGCTTAGAATTGGGCGAGCAGCATTAAATTGTGTTCAGAAGTGTGTATGTATAAACTACGAATGGACCCTTTTCCTGTACCTGGTCACATATGCATTAGTCTGGTACGTCAGAAGTGAGATCTCACTGCAACTGGAAATAAGCTATAACACTCATTCCCAGAATCATCTATACTTGTTGTAGGGCAAGAACATTGGTGTGGTCAGCTTATTAATTTTATTGCTCTTCTAACCAGGCACTTTCCAATGAAAAAGAAGATATTATTAATCAATGCTCCCTGAGCGCCACTCCTGAAAAATGGAAACCGCTGGACCTGGAGAATGACCCACCACGACTGGCTGGTATGTTGTAACACTTATTGATACTTTTAGCCTCTACCCA